GTGTGTGTGTGTGTGTGTGTGCGCGTGCGTGCGTGCACGTGTGTGTGCGTGCACGTGTGTGTGTGTTTAGATCAATGAAAGTGGCCAGTTGAGGATGTTGTACTTACACTTGTATCAAAGTTTGGTTTCACCTTGCACAGTTGTGGTTACTCTGTCATAAACAGGATATAGTGGCATGGGAGAAGGTGTAAAACCAACTCACAACAAATAAGAACAGAATGGAACGATTTATCCATTTGAGGGGGAGGACAAACAGACTGAGGATGCTCTCTCTTCAAAGGCCAAGGCGAATCTGTGTGGGATGGGGGAGTGGACTAGTGTGGGAGGTTGCTGAACCTGAGGAGGCACTTGAAACATGAACAACTTGTTAACAGCAGATACAGAGAGAGTACAGACCATAATCAACGTGAAGACAAACCCTCTTCATCGCGAGACTGTACAACCAGCTGCTACCATACAGTAAGCAAACAGCTAAAGTGAAGCGAGGCAGGCAGATGGGAGAGAAACGAATGGACAAGGGGGATGGGAGGTGGCTCAAATGAAGTATGAACACTTGCATGGACTGACTGAATGTTGAACGGCTTGTTCCACTGGCACATACCCTGTGTAATCCTCTTGCTCAACTGTCTTACTCTTTGCCAAAGCATAAGCCACACAAATCTCCGGACTAGATCTCCCTCCTCCAACCAACTGCATTTTTAAACCCAGCTCACACATCATCGTTTAGAAAATGCTATTTACATGCGCATTAAAACACACACTCACAGGCATACACACACACTCACAGGCATACACACACACTCACAGAGTTGGTGAGACAATTGTAAATGTTCCCACAGTTTGATGACTGTACGGTCAGATTGGAAAATTGCTGAGGTCGCTCTGTTATTTTAGAAACGTGTGAGAGAGAGGGAGCGGGGATAACCGGCTAACTACAGGTCTAAGGATTTCATGTCAGTTGCACAGAAGCAACTGGAAGCTGTCATTAAGATCAGATGCTGAATCTTAAAGGGGAAGGAGACTGTGCTGTAACTGTGGAGACCACATCTGCCCAGATAAAGGTCCAACGCAGTTCCACAACAATAACATGAGGGTTTAAACTGTTAATTCAGAACAGAGGAAGACGTAAACTGTTTTTCATTACCCGTCCGGCCCCTTTATTACTAAGCAGTGAACTGCTCAGCCAGTTTTGAAGGGGATAATCGCAAACACAGCCATATTATTTCAAACTAGACCCTGATTGTTCAGGAGCAAACCAGAAAAACATAAGGAGAATGAAAATCTGCAGCTTTCCCACAGTTTGTTGTGGCTCCCGGATAATCTGAGCTCCAGTCATTAGGTCATCAAATCCAGATCAAGCAGCACAAAGGTGGAGATCAGATAGACAAGGGCCATGATTGAACTGCTTGGCAGAACAGGACAGAGCGAACAGATTGGTCTAGTTACTCAGGATCTTACGTTCCAGTGGTGCTTTAGAATGAAATACCAGAGAGAAGAACTCACCACGATCCCCTTACATCTCCATACCTTGTTCCACATTCTCCACTGTGCCATGTTCAGCCAGGAGCCCATCCAATACCTGAAAACAACAGAGACAGAAGCATCATACTGTGTCATCCAGTCAGTTACATCACGTCATCCAGACAGACAGGACAGTCATACCATGTCACCCAAACAGACATTGAGGAGTCTTACACTGTGTGAACCAGACAGTCGGACAGAGTGTTACAACATGTCATCCAGACAGACAGACAGGAGAGTCACACCATGTCACCCAGACAATCAGGAGCATCACACAGTGTCACTGAGACAGACAGGGGCGTAACACTGTGTCAGAAAGGACAGGCAGGTAGGGGGCGGTGGAGGTGGTGGGGGCACTATCTTTGGCAAAATCATTTGCAAAGAAATGTCATGCGAGATCGCTCTGCACTACTTCAGTCTCCTACCGCTTCCGTTCACCTACACCAGAAATACTTTTCCTAAACTTGCTATCCTGAACCAGGAGGTTTCTGGATTCTTTAGTGGTGACTTTGTCCATCCGTTTCATTTCTTTTGCCAGCTTCATGTTTATCCCAGGAGGGTCTGGCTATAATCTTTGCATTTGTTATTCTGCTTTTTTTGATTATATACTTAAGTATAGCATTTTTGTTTTGCATTTCAACATAGCAGCGATCATTGTCCTTTATAAGCATTCTTTTCTGCCAGAGATGATGAGATTTGCCTGAATGTGCTTGGCCAGAATAAACCTTCTGACTTATTCCGCAGTGGGTAGCGCAATGACCTGCTGATTTTTCCTTTGCTTTCTTCACATTCGGCCAGTGATCTCCTAAAGCTTCTGGAGACCACTTGATTGGGGGAAGTGAGGAAGTCTGCAACTCCTTCCATGTCTTGCCTGTTCTCTCCCACTGACTATAACCTATCATATCAAATTCCTTCTCTACGGATTTGACAATATAGATATTTCTTTCTGTCACTGTCACCATCTTGGTCCGAATGTCTTAGGTCCAGGCGTTCCAATGAGTGGAAGCCTCCCCTCGCCAGAGCATGTATGCAGTTTTGGTCTCCTTACCTCGGGAAAGACATTTTTGTCATAGAGGAAGTGCAATGAAGGATCACCAGAGTTGTTCCTGGGACAGTGGGACTGTCCTATGAAGAGAGATTGGGCGAACTAATCCTGTATTTTCTAGAGTTCAATAGAATGAGATGTGACCTACAACCTCACTGAAGCTTACAAAATACCTAAAGAGTTGGCACTAACAGTCCCCATTAACAACTATTCACCCTCCCAGCCTGATCGTTAGCAAATCCTTTGTCTGTCCAACTGTCTTTCTCTCTCTTTGGGTTCTATCCTATCGTTTACTCCCTATCCCACCCACCTCCCTATTTTCTGCATATAAACTGACGTTTTCCCAGCCACCATCAGTTCCGAGGAAGGGTCACCAGACCCGAAACGTTAACTCTGTTTTCTCCTTCACAGATGCTGCCAGACCTGCTGAGGCTTCTCCAGCAATTTTATTTTTGTACCTAGAGTCAGATGCAGGGAAACTGTTTTCCCTTGGGTGGGAAGTCTAGAACTGGGAGGCATAATTTAGAAATAATGACGGTGCCACTTAGCACAGAGATGAGGAGAATTATTTTTACTCAGGAGGTACTCAGAACCTTTGGAATTCTCTACCACTGAGGTCTGTGGAAGCTCAGTCTTTCAATATGGAGATTGATAGATTTCTGATTACCAGTGGTGTACAGGATGATGGGGATGGGGTGGGTAAAAGGCAGTGAAGTGTTCGATCAGCCATGATCATACTGAATGGCAGGACAGACCCAAGAGGCATACCCTTGTTCCTATGTTTCTTCCTATGTTACTAAATCACTTAAAATACCAATGAGAAGGCTGGGCCATTAAATCAGCTGTCACAAATCTGAACAAACATGGCCACCGTGACTGTGACTATAACAACAACTGACATCTATAAAGCATGGATGTCATGAAAGGAGGTGCCAAGCAGTGGAGATTTAATGCCTTCAGATGTACAGCGATTGGAAGGTGGGAGGCCAGCAGGGGTGTGTGTTGGAATTGTTACGCTTAGGGACAATGAAAGTCTGCATGAGAAAAGGTCAATAGCAGATCAGCAGAGACAGAGGCAGAGGCGGACAATGTGGGTGGTGGCGAAGGGGTGGGGTGGGGGGGAAGTCGGCCATCTTTTCAATGTTCCAGATGTGAGTTCCCAAGCTCATCATGGGAACAAACCTGAGATTACAAATAGATTGGCTGAATCTTAGGACTACTGCCAGAGGGAGGAATGGAGTCAGTCACTAGGGAGGAGAAAGAGTCAACTAAGGCACCCAACATCAGTCAAAGGTAAAATAACAGAGGGGTCTCCAAGTAGATGGCCAATTGTTGAAGCTTGGGAGAAAACCACATGCTAAAAGGAAAGCCCCAACAGATTCTGATCTGCTGAGGAATGGGATCTACACTTTGGGGGCACATCCATCAGTCCTTCCATTGACAGAGTATGAAATGAGGCCATGAGTACTGCTGTGGTTGCACCACCTGCCTACAGACCACAGGTTCAATTCTCACCACAGCACATTGAGATTTCAATCCAGTTTCAGGAACGAGATCTGGAAATCAAAAGATGACTCTTGTGAGCATGGCCTTGAGGGTATCAGGCTACGGTATATATGAAAGAAAACACCAACCAGCTGATGAATGTTCATCAGTGAAGGTGAGCTGCAAGGCTGTCCAAATCACTAACATGTGACTGCAATCCCAGTCTTGACTCTTAAACTGCCTCTGAAGTGACATCACAAGCCACTAGGTTGTACCAAACCCGCTACGTGGAATGCCAAGAAGGTCACCCAGAGTAGCCCACCTTAAGGCAACGGCAGTCTTACCACTTCCCATGAGTAACTGAAAAAACTGCTTCTCTCCCCCTCCACTATATCACAAACTCCTGGTGCCAGAGGGGAAGCTGCAACATCAGTGAAAGCCAGTTTGCTTCTCTGTATACCTTCCTTCAATTACTTTGCTGAGCTTTTTAACCCTGACCCAGTGAGGTTCTCACCTGGAGGATTTTTTTAAAAATATATTCATTCGTGGGATGTGATCATTGCAGGTTGGGTCAGCATTTATTGCCTTGACCTTGAGAAGGTGATGATGAGCTGCCTTCTTTAACTGCAGCAGTCCACGTGATGTAGGTAGACCCACAATACCAATAGGGAGGGAATCCTAACTCGCTGTCATTTATTAGTTAGCTAATCCTCTATCCATGCTAAAATACTATGTCCAACACCAATGGTCAGCTTATTAAATAGCCTTACGTGCATTATTTCAGTGAATGCTTGTTGAAAATGCAAATGTATTACATCTACCAGTTCCCCTCTATCTATCCTGCTTGTGACCTCCTCAAATGACAGTATTAAATTCATAAGGAATGATTTCCTCTTCATGAAGTCATACTGACTCTGCTTGATCATATTATGTATTTCTAACAGTAACTCTAGCTGAGGTTGCAGGATACCGGAGGGTGGAAGACAATCTGTGACTTTCTGGCTGCTTCAGCCTTGTCTATACTCGTATTAATGAGTCTCAAACTGAGCCTCCTCAATCACCCTTCCCAAGGACCAGGTCAGGCAGTGACCAGACCTCTGTCTGATCATCCTGGATCACTGTCCCTTTGGTCATACAGTCATAAAGATCCACAGCACAGAAAAATGCCCTTCGGCCCATCGTGTCCACACTGGTCAAAAACAACCACCTGAATATTCTAATGCCATTTTCTAGTGCTTGGCTCATAGTCTTGCATGTCTTGGCATCGCAAGTACACATCTAAACACTTCTTAAATGTTATGAGAGTTTCTGACTCTACCACTCTTAAAGGTAGTGAGTTCCAGACTGCCACCACCCTCTGGGTGAAAACATTTTTCCTCATCTCCTCTAAATCTTCTGCCTGTTACCTTACATCTATGCCTCCAAGTCATGGATCCCACCATCAAGGGGAAAGTTTCTTCCTGTCTACTATTCGGCAATTGGTTAGAAATATTGATTGCGGTCAATTCCGTACAGCTTCTAAAAAAAAAGCAGCAGACAACACAGCAAATGCAAGGCAAAGCCACAAGCTTAGATACAATCCACCTGGTCACAGATCAAGTCAAATGTATATCCTCATTCAGTTCTCCAATACCTCAACTCATAGAACTGTACATCTAGCAACAGAGGAAGACAGTGGTGCAATGGTAATATCATTAGATAAGTTATCAAGAGACCCAGAAGAATTCTCAAGAGAAATAGATTCAAATCCCAACATGGCAACTGGTGGGATTCAAATTCAATGGATTTGAAAGTTCTCTCAGTGAGGGTGACTGTGGAAGCTATCATCTCTTTCACTAATGCCCTTTAGGGAAGGAGATCAGCCGTCCTTCGGTTGTGGGTAAAGTGTTGGAAAGGATTATAAGAGATGGGATTTATAATCATCTAGAAAGGAATAATTTGATTAGGGATAGTCAACACGGTTTTGTGAAGGGTAGGTCGTGCCTCACAAACCTTATTGAGTTCTTTGAGAAGGTGACCAAACAGGTGGATGAGGGTAAAGCAGTTGATGTGGTGTATACGGATTTCAGTAAAGCGTTTGGTAAGTTCCCCATGGTAGGCTATTGCAGAAAATACGGAGGCATGGGATTGAGGGTGATTTAGCGGTTTGGACCAGAAATTAGCTAGCTGTAAGAAGACAGAGGGTGGTGGTTGATGGGAAATGTTCATCCTGGAGTTCAGTTACTAGTGGTGTACCTCAAGGATCTGTTTTGGGGCCACTGCTGTTTGTCACTTTTATAAATGACCTGGAGGAGGGCGTAGAAGGATGGGTTAGTAAATTTGCGGATGACATCAAAGTCGGTGGAGTTGTGGATAGTGCGGAAGGATGTTGCAGGTTACAGAGGGACATAGATAAGCTGCAGAGCTGGGCTGAGAGGTGGCAAATGGAGTTTAATGCGGAAAAATGTGAGGCGATTCACTTTGGAAGGAGTAACAGGAATACAGAGTACTGGGCTAATGGTAAGATTCTTGGTAGTGTGGATGAGCAGAGAAATCTCGGTGTCCATGTGCACAGATCCCTGAAAGTTGACACCCAGGTTGATAGCGTTGTTAAGAAGCCGTACGGTGTGTTAGGTTTTATTGGTAGAGGGATTGAGTTTCGGAGCCATGAGGTCATGTTGCAGCTGTACAAAACTCTGGTGCGGCCGCACTTGGAGTATTGCGTACAGTTCTGGTCACCGCATTATAGGAAGGATGTGGAAGCATTGGAAAGGGTGCAGAGGAGATTTACCAGGATGTTGCCTGGTATGGAGGGAAGGTCTTATGAGGAAAGGCTGAGGGACTTGAGGCTGTTTTCGTTAGAGAGAAGAAGGTTAAGAGGTGACTTAATAGAGACATACAAGATGATCAGAGGATTAGATAGGGTGGACAGTGGGAGCCTTTTTCCTCGGATGGTGGTGGCTAGCACGAGGGGACATAGCTTTAAATTGAGGGGTGATAGATATAGGACAGATGTCAGAGGTAGGTTCTTTACTCAGAGAGTAGTAAGGGCGTGGAATGCCCTGCCTGCAAAAGTAGTAGACTCGCCAACTTTAAGGGCATTTAAATGGTCATTGGATAAACATATGGATGATAATGGAATAGTTTAGGTTAGATGGGCTTCAGATTGGTTTCACAGGTCGGTGCAACATCGAGGGCCGAAGGGCCTGTACTGCGCTGTAATGTTCTATGTTCTATGTTCTATGTCCTTACTTGGTGTCTGGCCTCATGTGACTCCAGACCCACAGCAAAAATGGTTGACTCTTAAATGCCCTGTGAAGTGGCCACTTGGTTCAAGGGGCAATTAGGGACAGGCAACAAATGCCCACAATCCCAGAGAAGAATGAAGGGAAAGCTACCCTCTCATTTTCCAGATTGGGCACCAAATCCCTACTATGCCAAGTCCTGCCTTCCCACCCCACCACCTAAAACCCCAACCACACTTTGCGAGCGCATCAAGAGAGAGCCATGACCTCTTGTCGAGGTGTGTTGGACACAGTCTGAACTCAAGCCATTTAAACAGACAAGTAAATTAATAGTTGGTTACCAACTTCTGTAGGCTACTCACCTCCCACTGCAGATGAGGCGGGATGTTGCGGATTTGAATTTTCCGACTCCTGCAAAGCGAAAAAGACAAAGTCTTGTCAGTGAAACACATCGTGGGAATTCACTGTGCCAGACGGTCAGGGGGTTCAAGGGGCAGAGGGAGACTGGGGAATGCTCTTAATAAAACAAGACAGATTGGCACTGCCTATGCTCAAGGTAGGCAATGGTATGGCATCTTGGGTTCTCTTTGTCTAAAACAATTTGCTCCTGAGATGTGGGCAGCGCTGGCGATGTAATATTCACAGCCCATCACAAGTTAACCCGCCTTCACTCTATATTGCCCACGTACTCATTGAGCAGAAGGGTAACAGCTCCACGTCCCGGAAGTTAGTGAACCAGCTGCCAGTATAGCATTAGTTCAGCTGCTGGCTGCAGTACATGTGATTAATTAAGTGACTGACTAAATAAAAAGGGGGAAAGCAGGGACCCCGGCAGCAAATGGGTAGCCGCCACTGAAGGAGAGACTGGGGCAATTGAGCTAAAACGTGGTCAAAGAGGGCAGTTTTAAGGAGTGTTGTGAAGGAGGAAAGTGAGGTAGAGCGGCAGAGAGGTCTTACTCAGGAAATTCCAGAGGTGAGGGAAGAGATTCTCAACCAGGGGATCGTGAGGTGCGATTTTGGGGCCAGGGGTTCTAAGGTTGCAATGACTACCATGTAGCTCTAGCTTAGTGTTAACAGACACAAGGTCCCTTTAAATTCTTTTTAATAGTGAGCATGGATTCACTGACAGGCATCTGAGGCCTGATTCCTGCTTCAAAACAAAAAGCCAGGTTCTTCAAAAGCCCTAACCAACATACCAGCAAGGAACAGCACAGTGGCTCAGTGGTTAGCACTGCTGCCTCACAGCACCAGGGACCCGGGTTCAATTCCACCTTCAGGTGTCTGTCTGTGCGGAGTTTACACATTCTCCCAGTGTCTGCATGGGTTTCCTCCCACACTCCAAAGATGTGCAGGTTAGGGTGGATTGGCCATGCTAAATTGCCCCATAGTGTTCAGGGATGTGTAGATTAGGTGGGTTATAGAGGGATAGTTCTGTGTAGACTTGTTGGGCCAAAGGGCCTGATTCCACACTGTAGGTATTATATTATTTATGAGAACAAGAGTAGGCCACTCCCCTTCAAGCCTGTTTGCCATTTGATAAGATCATGGCTGATGCTGATTCTGATTTTTAACATCAACTCTACATTCCTGCAGACCCCCGAGAATCTTCATCCCCTTGGTAATCAATTTATCTACCTCTGTTTTAAAAATATTTAAAGATTCTGCATCCACTGCCTTTTGAGGAAAAGAATTTCAAAGACTCACAAACCCCAGACAGAAAAATGTTGCCTCATCTCTGTATTAAATGGGAGACCCCTTATTTTTAAACAATGACGTTCTAGATTCTCCCACAAGAGGAAACACCCTTTCCATGTCTACCCAGTCAAGACCCCTCAGAAACTTGTGTGTTTCAACTAAATCACTTCTGCATCTTCTACACTCCAGAGGATACAGGCCTAGACTGTCTGGACTTTCCTCATAAGGTAATCCACTTATTCCAGGTTCATGAACCTTCTCTGAACTGCTTCCAATACATTAACATCCTTCCGTAAGTACAGTGACCAGTACTCAATTCTCCAGGTGCAGTTTCACCGATGTCCTGTATAACTGAAGAATGCATTCATCATTCCTCACAATAAACCATAACATTCTACTGGCTTTCCTGATAACTTGCTGTACCTGCATACTGACGTTCTGTCATTCATGCACAAGGGCACCCAGATCTCTCTGCATCTTAAGAACCCTACAACTTGTCACTATTTAGATGGTATATAATTTTTATTCTTCCTGCTAAAATGGACATATGGTACTCCATCTGCCAGATTTTTGCTCCTCACTTAAACTATGTATTTCTTTGTAGGCTTCTTATGTCCTCTTCACAACTCACTCCCTCCCCCACTCGCATGTATGAATGCAGTTCCAAAAACACTCAAGATGCTCGACATCATCCAGGACAAAGCAGCCCATTTGTTTGGCACCAGATCCACAAGCATCCGTTCCCTCTGCCACTGTCACTCCGTAGCAGCAGAAAATTCCAACCTGTGAACACATCCAACTAGGAAGACAAAGGCAACAGAAACATGGGAACACCAGGACATGCGGATTTCCCTCCAAGCCACTCACCACCCTGTCTCGGAAGTATATCACCGTTCCTTCAGTGTTGTTGGGTCAAAATCCTGGAATTCCCTCCCTGAGGGCATTGTGGGTCAACCCACAGCACGTGGACTGCATTGGTTCCGGAAGGTAGTTCACCACCACATTCTCAAGGGTGACTGGGATTGGGCAATAAATGCTGGCCTAGCCAGTGATGCCCACATGCTATGAGCAAATTTAAAAATAGTCTAGTGAAATCTTTAATTGTTAGAAGAGAAAGGATGAAGTCAGTCGCAAGGGAGTAGAATATGAAGTGAGAACTGAAGATAACAGCCACAGTCTTCTCAATGCTGAACCGAAGGGATTGTGTATCCATCGAGTGACGAATATCAGATAAGCATTCTGATAGTTTACTAACAGTAGAGGAGTCAAGGCAGGTGTTGGTGAGCTGGCTGTCAATGTCCACGTGATAACTGAGACTGTGCTTTCAGCTAATGGCACTGAGGGGCAGTGTGTAGATTAGAAAAAGGAGGGGACAGGTATGGGTATGGTACCTAAGGATAGAGTCCCAGGGGTAACAGGTTGGGGAGCAGAAAGAGAGACCATTGTGTGATTCTCTGGCAATGAATGCATGGATAAGAACAGAACCGTGTGAGACAGCTCACCCCAACTCCGCCCTCCCCGGGTGACAGTGGAAGGGGTTGGTGGAGGATATGCAGACTCCATATTGAAGGCTGCAGACAAGGGTGAGAAGAACAAGGAGAGAAAGTTTACCTTCGTCCAAGTCTATTAGGGTGTCATTTGGGATTTTGATAAGAACTGTTTTAGCAGCGTGCAAAGGCAGAGACCTGATTGGAGAGGTTGAAAGACAGCACCAGCTTCTTCATTAACCACATTGGAGTACTTATGACCCTAATGCTAGGAGACCACACCCTGTGACCCTAATCACTAGGAGACTGTAAGTGATTGTAACGAGGTCGGCCAGGTGGACCTCACAGAACAGCAGTTCCCTGACTGGGGCTGTTAACCTGGTTCAATCAGGGAGCCCTGGCTGACAGATAAAAACAGGAGTGTCAGACATCCTGTTCACTCAGAGATTTGGCTCTGAGGGAGCTGGATCAGTGTCAAGGACTCTCCACATGTAAATAAAGGGTGACTTGTGATGGGATGCCATCCTCTTTTGGAGTTACTTTAGTGGCAACAAGAGAAAAGCACGCTCCTGAAGAAATTTGCTCACAGTCGTCTTTGAGATGGGGTCAGCATTTCGGCAATCATGCTGTTACTTGAGAAGTCTGACTCGTTCAATCCTGCTGTCGAAGACTGGGCTCATATGTGGAAAGAATGCCTTATTTTTTCCAGGTAAATGATATTGGGGCAGGTGAAAAGCAATGAGTAATTCTCCTGACAGCTTGTGGACCTGCAGCTTTTTTGGTTATTGGGAGCCTAACGTTCCAGGAGGCGCCAGATACTAAAACCTTTCAAGATTTGATAGATCTAATCAAGGAATATTACGACTCTGAGACGCTATCAGTTTTACTCGGTAGCTCAAGAGCCAGAGGAATTCATATTGGGATTTTTCACTAGATTAAAACGACTGGCAGAGGCATGGGATTTTAGTTTAACCCTTAATGAGATGTTAAGAGGCCATCTGGTTATTGGGATTAATGATGGAACCATGCAAAAGCGCCTACTAGCTGAAGCCCAAATGGACTTCAAGCAGGCACTACAACTGGCTTTATCATTGGAAAATGCAGCGAGTTGCAAGGTATTCCAATGTAAGTGGACACCCTCGCCAGTCTGACTGAGCTTGGGAACACCATCAATCAGAGCATATCCTGAACACAGATATATACACAAAGCCAGGGGGAGTTGACAGGGGGGATGGGGGGGTATTTGTCCATCATGAAGCTGGACGTTAGCTATGCATACTTACAATTGTGATTAGATGAGGATTCCCAGAAGTATGCTACAATTAATACCCATTTTGGGTTTGTATCAATATACAAGTCTGCCATTTAGGACATCGTCAACTTGTGCAATTTTTCAGTGGATGATGGAGAACATTTTACTAGGTCCACCCCAGGTTGCCATTTATCTAAATGATGTGCCAATAACAGGGAAGACCAATAAGGACCACTTCAGAGAACGTGAACATAGTCTATTGACATTTTTCCAAGGCAGGCATATCCTAAGAAGGGAAAAATGTATGTCCCAGGCACTCCATGTGACCGACTTGGGCTACAGAGTCGACAAGACTGGGTTACACCCGTTGGAAGATAAGTGAGGGGGATCAAAGGTGCTCCAGCTATCACTTCTGTACCAGAGTTTAGGTCTTTCCATGGGCTGATGGATCATTACAGAAAGTTCACACATAACCTGACCTTTGCATCAACTCTGGAAAAAATGGATCAGCCTTGGATATGATCACATAGCCAAGCTATAGCTTTCAGGGAAGTGAAGAAACAGCTATCATCCTTTAAGGTGTTGGCACACTCCGATCCCCAGCGACATCTGGTATTGACATGCGGTGGTTCACCGTACGGCATCAGGGTAGTATTAGCTCATAGGTAGCCCAATGGAGAGGAATGCCCAATAGCGTGTGCATCCAGAACATTAATACGACCAGGTAGAGAAGGAAGTTTGGCGGTCAGTTTGGAGTCAGAAAGTCTCATCAATGCCTTTTATGGTCATAAATTTGTAATAATAACGGACCACAAATCTCTGCTAGATCTACTTAAAGCAGAAAAGGAATAGCTTCATGCCGAATTCAGTAGGTTCTAATGCTAAGTGTGTATAACTACAAGTTGGAACACCATTCAGGAGGCCAAGTGGCAAATGTGGATGCATTGAGCTGCCTCCCACTAGCAGATATATCACCA